TAGCACCTTGTTGCTATTATCCTCCCCGTCGGGCACATCAAACCTGATCCCGGATTTCTCCATTTCTTGCCCGTCTTGAGCTGCATTTCAAACAGAGCTGGGACAATGTCACCAGCTCACACCTCAATTCAAGTCCAGCAATGACCTGTCAATGAGCCTCTTTGCTGCTCAGCAAATGGCACCCTGGGAAGCCCAGCATCCTCCTGGCAGCGGAGGCAAGACTAGACTCCCCGCTGCACCAGAGCCTTGAAAGGGAAGAAAACATTCCTCAAACTATCCTTGCCTTCTTGGCCAAGTGAAGCCAGGCAGAATACATCATATTTTGGAGAGGAGACGAGAGGGATAGAGGTAAATGCTGACTAAAAATGGCAGAGAATAGTAAAGAGTCAGGGATTTCTTAGCTAGTCAGGCTCCCTATTGAGAGTGCAATGTGTTTTTTGGCTAGACCAACAATCCAAGCAGTATAGCAGTAGATAAATAACTTGTGAAAGTGAGTTCAGAGTTGCAGATTTAACTTGTGACTGATCCATTCCTTAGCATTCTTGATATCTAACTTTCAAACATCCCAACTTGGCATCCTTCAGATGTACTGGACTATGCATAATCCCAAGTGAACATGGCAGTGCTGGCTGGGAATAATGGGGTTAATAGTCCAGCACACCTGGAAAGTCCCAAGTAGAGAAATCTGCACTAATGTCTGTAAAAACCTTCTACTGTTGTGCTCACTTTATACTCCAGGCTGGTTTCTCCCTCTCCTTCCCATTTTGGGTTACAAAACCTCTGAATGGGTGGGGAGGATGGGACTGATTAGCAAAAGCTTCCATTCAGCAGTGGAACATGCTGCCTCGGAGTGTGATGGAGTCTCCTTCTCTGGAGGTTTTTAAGCAAGAGCTGGATAGCCATCTGTTAAGAGTGCTTTGATTGTATTTTCCTGCAAAACAGGTGGCTGGACTGGATGCCCTTGTGGACTCTTCCAATTCTTATGATTCTGTGATTACAGGGAGTTTCTGGACAGGGAACAATTCTGAACGGAGAATGAGTGGCATATGCATATGTATAGTAAAGGTATAAGTTTCCTCTGATATTAAGTCATGTCTGACTCTGACTCTGGGGGGTGGAGCTTATCTCCATTTCTAAGCCGAAGAGATGGTGTTGTCCGTAGACGCCTCCAAGGTCATGTGGCTGGCATGACTGCATGGAGTGCCGTTACCTTCACGTCAAAGTGATACCTATTGACCTACTCACATTTGCATGTTTTCGAACTGCTTGGTTGGCAGAAGCTGAGGCTAACAGCAGGAGCTTACCCCGCTCCCCGGATTTGAACCACCACCCTTTCAGTCAGCAAGTTCAGCAACTCAGCAGATTAACTCGCTGCACCACCAAGTATACATTTCACCATATGCTGTTTTCTCACTACAACCATCTCTAACCCACTCCTTTTCTCTGGTGACTTCCAGATGTGTATTTATCTTCAAACCAGACAGATAATAGAACAAGATACCCAGGTATATTTTGGAATCAACTCCAGAAGTGCTTGTTACATTGACATTGAACCAACAAGACTCAGGTACAAATGGAGAAACTCAAACCTGGAACCAATTTTCACTGTTAGGACTAAGCCTTGGAACAAATCAAGCAAAAGTATATGAGTATATGACAATTGCATTTCTGATGCTGGTAAAAATTGCAAGGCCAATGGTTTTGCAAATTTTTCGCATTATTTTGAGAGATTTTTGAGCCACGTTTTGTTTAAAAACTGATTAATATATGTTAATATGTTAACTTACTGGTAAGCATCTGCAATGTAGAATTAATGCAGTTCAAGACACCACTTGAACCACTATGGCTCAGTGCTATGGAATCATGGGAATTGTAGTTTTATTAGGTCTTTAGCCTTCTCTACCAAAGAGCACCGATGCCTCACCAAAATTTAAACCAAAGGTATCATGCTCTTAGATCAGGCATGGAAGGTGTGCACCCCTTCAGATGTTACTGGACTGCAAACCCCAACATCCCTCACCATTGAATACACTTGCTACAGCTAATAGGAGTTTCAGATCGACAATATCTGTAGGGCCAAATAATTTATCTAAGTTACAAATAGAGTACATACAAATATAAATACAAACAAGATACTGAGTCCACCTGGGGAGATAGGGCGAAACACAAACAAAGTATTATTATTATTATTATTTGAAACACAACAAGATGAGTCCACAGCAGACACTCTGCTGGTTGTTGTATTGGATCACACATGTCTAGGACTGTGTGATGTATCAGCGACGAATGCATGCAGATCCCAGTAAGGTGGCCTTCTGCAGCTGGCAGATGGTAATTTTGTCAACACTGATTGTGTTTAAGTGCAGGCCAAGGTCTTTAGGCACTGCACCCAGTATGCCGATCACCACTGGGACCACCTTGACTGGCTTGTAATAATATTTTTATTATTGTGATAATATTATTTTAATTATCGAAATTAAAATAAAATTAAAAATATTTTAATTTTATTATTATTGTATTATTATTGTATTGTATTATTATTACTATTATTATTATTACAAACATAGCCAATGAACATTACAGGATTACATCATAGAGAGGGATTTCCCCAGAATGTAATTTCTGACGCTGTCTCTCATCCGTGCAAAAAAAAGTTGTGCCTGCACTGCAATAAATGTCAAAGCACATATACCTAGCATGGATATTCACTTCTACTGTAGCAATTTCTATCACATCGCTTTCCACTCTGAACAAAGGCAGCTATTCTACAGGGGTTTTCCAATGTAAATGTTTAAATCACTTCAGGCAAGTCACTCCCTCCCTTTCAAAAAAGTTGAAAGAAGAAAACTTTTAACACTTCCAGTAAGTGACACCCCAACCAGCACGAGGTTGCAGACAACTGCAAAAGTGACTCACAGTTTCTATTCAATCCATATCTCCTCTCTATTCAAGGTGGGTGAGCTGCAATCCCAGGTGTATCTTTTATATACATTTTACAGATCTTCTTAAAATAATAACTTTGAGGCCAGAGTGAAAGTGGCATGCTTACATATACCTTGTGAGAACAAGGGTGGCAGAGCTGCTTGAAATCTGGCATCACAGAATCAGGGATTCACCAGCTTTTACGAATATCTATTTCCATTATTCTAATCCTACCCTCGAGGCAGGTTTCTATGGTTCGCTCACCTATCCATGTCAGGTTTCACAATTATACTTTCGCCTTTCTTTTTTCACAGCAGTGTTCCTGGGACTCTATTCAGCTCCCTTTGTTTTGTGGCTGTTTCTCTGTCCTTGCTTTGGAGATCTCCCTCACACAAACTGGTTTCCCCTTGGCTTTTTAAAGACCATACCATTTTTCCTATGATGTGTATGCCATCTGCAGTCTGTCCCTTTTCTTATAGATGCAATATATTTGGAATATGCACCTTCTTGCCTACTTATACAGTGACAAACATCCAAGCTACAAACAACTCTTAGTTAAGAACGGGGTTGAGACAACAGGAAGTGAGATAAATCCACCCCTAGGATGGGAAATTCACTCCTGAAAGAGTTATTCTCTTTCACATCCCTGGTCACATCCCGCCTTGACTACTGCAACGCTCTCTACGTGGGGCTGCCCTTAAAGACGGCCAGGAAGCTTCAGCTAGTCCAGCGCGCGGCAGCCATGTTACTAACAGGAGCGGGACGCAGGGAGCATACAACGCCCTTGCTGTTCCAGCTCCACTGGCTGCCGATTTGCTACCGGGCCCAATTTAAGGTGCTGGTGTTATCCTACAAAGCCCTAAACGGTTCCGGCCCAAAATACCTTTTGGACCGCATCTTGGCCTATGAGCCCACGAGGACCTTGAGATCGTCTGGGGAGGCCCTTCTCTCGATCCCGCCTGCTTCACAGGCACGTCTGGCGGGGACGAGAGAAAGGGCCTTCTCGGTGGTGGCCCCCCGGCTGTGGAACGACCTCCCTGCTGACATCAGACAGGCGCCCTCCCTTCTGTCCTTCCGTAAGAGCCTGAAGACCTGGCTATTTGAGAAGGCATTCAACTGAGCGCTACAGCAACTGGTAATTGACAACTGGAACGGAATACGGATTACGATATTGGTTATGATTCTATGATGTGACGGAGCGGATTATTTAGTGTAACTTAGATTATAGTGTATTATTGTTGTATTGATTTCCTGTTTTGCCCTTTTGTAAACTGTTTTTATATGTTGTGCACCGCCGCGAGTCGCCCTAGGGCTGAGAGCGGCGGTCAATAAATGCAGTAAATAAATAAATAAATTATTCTCATGGGGAATAGATGTCTCCACTGAAGATTTCTCACCAATCTTTGTTTCCACAACAAGCCAAATTTGTCAAAATCCAATTATCACTGGGATAGAAAGTGAGGTTAAATCTTCTGTATCAGTGAACAGATAGCAAAACAGACACCACAATAGTGTTCACCCTTCCCTATGGTAGCCAAAGCTACATATAATTATAATATAACATAATATGATATAATTATCTATACGCATAATAAAAGTCCACTTACACAGACAGCCTCCTTTCTCCACAAACTTGGCACATAAATAACCCGGGCACCACCGGGTCCCCAAGCTAGTAATATAATATAATATAATATAATATAATATAATATAATATAATATATACTGTATGGCTGGAGTGACACTTGAAAAATGTACCTGTTCTGACTTACATACAAATTCAGCTTAAGAACAAACCTACAGAACCTATGTTGTTCATAACATGGGGACTGCCAGAACTCGTGCCTATCACTGTCTAGGGTAGAAATGCCATAAATAAATAAATAAATAAATAAATTCTTCCATTCATTTGTACCACTTTCCTCTGGCTTGAAAATTTCCCATCCATCACTTCTCCCTCACTACCTTTGTTTTTAGAGCTCATTTTTCTCCGTAGTTTGCTTTAACACATCCTTTCCATTCTGCTCCTAGGAACACCCTTTATATTGATCTGAACCACCCCCTTTTGCCTCACTTACCAATGCTCATGACTCTGCCGAACACAGAAGTGTTGTCCACCGTGCTGCAGTTCCACCGCCTCTGCCGAAACTGGTACTGGCACTCCTTGATGGCGTTCTTGGCCCCCTCGCCAATATACATCATGTGTTCCTGGTAAAGCTGGCACAACTTCCTCTGGCCTGGAGACAGCCCTGGCAGTTGGCTGCAGACCGGCTGGGCTCCGATGATGTACATCTCAGGTCTGTGGATTGGATTCATCGCCAAGGACCTGAAAGGAGGGGCAGAGGGGAAAACACAGGGAAGGACGGAAGAGGAAGGAAGCCCAGTGAGACCTGATCTCAGAAACCTATTGCTCTGCTCTGTCTCGAAAGCTTCTTGCCTCTCAAAAAAGAAGCAACACTACTGGAAAATGAGAGACCCTACCTAAGTAAAGCACAAAGAGGCCTCTCAGTCAGTATCAAAGAGGTCTCAAAGGAAAGGAAAGAGAGCTGGAAATGGATAACAGCTTTACCTTTCCTTAGGCAACAGTTTCCTAATCTGTTGCACTTGGTTGCCTGGAATTAATTAAAGCAGGAGAGGCAAAAAAGTCACATCTGCTATTCTTCCCTCCAAAAAAGATACAACTACAGGTCCCATCATTAATGTCTGCACTGTGGAAAAACGCCATCTTGGTGTGGATGAATGAGTTAATAATGAGAGGTAAATAACAACAAAGGCAAGGTGATAAAGCCCCTGGAGCTCACTGTCTACACTCCAACAGGGGAGTCCAGGCATGGGCCAGCTTGGGTCCTCCAGGTACTTTGGACTTCAACTCCCACCATTCCTAACAGCCTGAGGGGACCAAGTTGACCTATACCTGCTGTAAAAATCAATGAAGTTTGATTCCTCTTGCACTGCCATGCCTCAATGCTATGGAATCATGTTGTTGTTGTTCAATCGTTCAGTCGTCTCCAACTCTTCGTGACCTCATGGACGAGCCCATGCCAGAGCTCCCTGTCAGCCATCACCACCCCCAGCTCCTTCAAGGTCAATCCAGTCACTTCAATGATGCCATCCATCCATCTTGCCCTTGGTCGGCCCCTCTTCCTTTTTCCTTCCATTTTCCCCAGTATCATTGTCTTCTCTAAACTTTCCTTTCTTCTCATGATGTGGCCAAAGTACTTCATCTTGGCCCCTACTATCTTTCCCTCCAATGAGCAGTCATCATACAAGCTGACATTTTACGAAGAGTGCTGATGCCGCACCAAACTACAACTCCCAAGTTCCCATAACACTGAGCCATGGCAGTTAAAATACAGTGTTCCCTCACTTATTGTGGGGGTTACGTTCCAGGACCTCCCGCAATAAATGAAAAACCACGATCTATGGACGCTATATTTATTTTAATATTTATGCATTATTTTAGTAATTATACACTATTTTAAGTCTTTATAAACTTAAAATAAAGTGAAGCAAATGAAGGAAAGGCCCTTCAAAGCTGGACTGAGGAGGGAAAGCACCTCAGAGAATGGCTGCAGCAAAAACCTGTGAAACAGCGAAAATACCGCAATATATATTTTAAATTAGTATTTTTTGAAAACCACGAAACAGCGAGTCCCCTAAAAGCGAACCGCAAAGTAGCTAGGGAACACTGTAGTATCAAACAGCATTCATATTGCAGTGCAGATGCAGTCTGCCTCTTAGGAGAGAAACTCTTTTAATTGGTTCCCTAGCCAAGGAACCGAACAAAATGCGTACAGTTTAGTTTCCCAAGGACTTTAGCCTTCTCTGGCAAAAACAGGGCGAAATTCTTGGGGAAACTAAACTATATGCATGGTTTTGTTAGTTTTTTGCTGGTGCCTAGGCTAGAGACATATGTATATGTCTCTAGCCCAGGCATGGGGGTAATTTGGGCCCTCCAGGTGGTTTGGACTCCAACTCCCACCATTGCTAACAGCCTCAGGCCCTTTCCTTTCCCCCTCAGCCACTTAAGCGGCTGAGGGGGGAAAGGAAGGGGCCTGAGGCCGTTAGGAATGGTGGGAGTTGAAGTCCAAACCACCTGGAGGGCCCAAATTGGCCTGAGGCTGTAAGGAATGGTGGGAGTTGGAGTCCAAAGCACCTGGAGGGCCCAAATTGGCCTGAGGCTGTAAGGAATGGTGGGAGTTGAAGTCCAAACCACCTGGAGGGCCCAAATTGGCCTGAGGCTGTTAGGAATGGTGGGAGTTGGAGTCCAAAGCACCTGGAGGGCCCAAATTGGCCTGAGGCTGTAAGGAATGGTGGGAGTTGGAGTCCAAAGCACCTGGAGGGCCCAAGTGGCTCATGCCTGGCTTAGAAGGAGATCTGAATTTTGGTTCCAGCAAGCAGAGGACTTCCAGGCAATTTGAACAGAATTGGGGTCATTCTAATGAGGGACAAGACAATGATAGCTAACAAGAACAGTAGAAGAAAGCTAACCCACCCAAGATCACTTTCCAGGAATCCCTCAAACTTTGCCCTGTCCATCCAGGGGGTCAATGCGCCTTGCAGGTCTGTTTTCCCTCCCTTATCTTTCCAAGAATCGCTGCTACACTGTCTAGGTGAAACTGCGCCTTTGGGATAAGTTTTTCCTCCTCCTCCTCTTCCCCCCTTCGCTTTCCTTCTTCTCCAGAGCAGCGACTTGGTCTTGGTCCGGGAAAGGCACCGGTGCTCATTTCATCTCCCAAAGAGAGAGAAAGGCACAGAGCAGGGAGCCAAGGAAGCCCCCGCGTGTCCGAGGTTTCGCGTGGAGGTCTCAGAGACTAAAGCCAAAGCTTCTCCCCGGCTGTAAGAACAAAGGAAAAGGGGGGATTGGGGGACTGAGGGAGGGAAGGGGGGTGTCACTTACCACCAGGAGCTGGCTTCGGCCACGAGCTGCGTGCATCCGCAGAGCAGAGCCAGGCGGAGCAGCAGCCGCGTCCCGGGCATGGTGCGCCTCCCGAGCCTCTGCCTGTCAGGGCGGGGACTCCATGGGCTTCCCTGCAAGGCAAGGCAAGGAGCAGAGGGAGGGGGTCAGTGCGGAGGGAGCGAGCGAGGGAGGGAGGGAGGGGTCTCCTTCCACCAGGGAAGCACCCGCCAAGACCCTCCTCCTCCTCCTCTTCCTCCTCCTCTGCTGGGCAAGAACCCCCTCCCTTCACACACACACACACACACACACACACACACATCATCTGGGTTGTTGCAGGTTTTTCGGCCTGTATGGCTATGCTCCAGAAGCATTCTCTCCTGACGTTTCGCCTGCATCTATGGCAGGCATCCTCAGAGGTTGTGAGGTTTAATGTATTGTCGAAGGCTTTCATGGCTGGAATCACTAGGTTCTTGTGGGTTTTTTCGGGCTATAGGGCCATCTTCTAGAGGCATTTTTTGAGTCCACAGCGCTCTCTGGGGATAGGTGAACTACAACTCCAAAACTCAAGGTCAATGCCCACCAAATGCTTCCAGTATTTTCTCTTGGTCATGTGAGTTCTGTGTGCCATGAACAAAATCTGGCTACCGGTATAAAAAAAAAACTCTAAAATTACAACAGCAAAACAGCAGAGAGGAAACAACCAGGCACATCTTAACACCTCTCAACAAAAGATTTTCCCAGGCTCAGCCAGGCCTTCAAATGCTAATGAAGGTGGTCAGTTGAAACATTCACACCTAGCTCCAGCAGAGAAGAGCTCTTTGCCCCACCCCAGCCATTCCACAGATATATAAACCCATTGTTCCTAATTCCCACAGACCTCACTACCTCTGAGGATGCTTGCCATAGATGCAGGCGAAACGTCAGGAGAAATGCCTCTAGAACATGGCCCTATAGCCCGAAAAAACCCCACAAGAACCTAGTTGTGAGGTTTGTTGGAATCTAGGAAAATTGGGTTTCTATATCTGTGGAATGATGTTCAGGGTGGGAGAAAGATCTCTTGGTTGTTGTAGGTTTTTCAGGCTGTATGGCCATGTTCTAGAAGCACTCTCTCCTGACGTTTCGCCTGCATCTGTGGCAGGCATCCTCAGTGGAGATCTCTCCACCTGTTCTTCTCTCATTTTTTTGGTGTTGAACTCCACCCCCCAGAATTTAAAAACAACCCCCCCAACCCCACTAGTAATCAATGTTGGCCATGTAGGTAGTATGTCAAGTTTGGTGCATATCCCTTGTAGACTGGGTTTAGAGTGCTCTTTTATTTTAGGTGAACTATAAATCCCAGCAACTACAACTCCCAAATGTCAAGCTCTATTTTCCCCAAACTCCACCAGTGTTCACATTTCGGCATGTTGAGTATTCGTGCCAAATTTGGTCTAGATCTATCATTGTTTGAGTCCACAGAGCTCTCTGGAGATAGGTGAACTACAACTCCAAAATTCAAGGTCAATGCCCACCAAATGCTTCCAGTATTTTCTCTTGGTCATGGGAGTTCTGTGTACCAAGATGGTTCAATTACATCATTGGTGGAATTCAGAATGCTCTTTGGTTGTAGGTAAACTATAAATCCCAGCAACTATAACTCCCAAGTGACAAATCAGTCCCGTCCCATCTCCCCACCCCCCCCCCCCCAACACCACCAGTATTCAGATTTGGGCATATCAGGTATTTGTGCCAAATCTGATCCAGTGAATGAAAATACATCCTGCATATCAGATATTTACATTTCAATTCATAACAGTAGCAAAATTACAGTTACGAGGTAGCAACAAAATAATGTTATGGTTGGGAGGCACCACAACATGAGGAACTGTATTAAGGGATTGCGCCATTAGGAAGATTGAGCATCACTGGACTACTCTATTCCTCTTTGGCCTGACAACAACTAAGGTGCATTCATTCTGCACTGAAGAATGAAGGCACCTTGATGCCACTTTCACGACCGTCACTCAAGGCCATGGAGTCCTGGGATTTGCGTATATTTTAGTTTCCCAAGGACTTTAGCCCTCTCTTTTTGCGAAGAACTTCCTGACTGTGAGAGCCGTTCAGCAGTGGAACTCTCTGCCCCGGAGTGTGGTGGAGGCTCCTTCTTTGGAAGCTTTTAAACAGAGGCTGGATGGCCATCTGTCAAGGGTGATTTGAATGCAATATTCCTGCTTCTTGGCAGGGGGTTGGACTGGATGGCCCATGTGGTCTCTTCCAACTCTTTGATTCTATGATTTGCCAGAGAAGGCTAAAGTCCTTGGGAAACTAAATGATATGCCTTTCGTCTGGGTCCTCTGCTAGAATTAAAACAGCTTCTCTCCTAGGAGGCAGACTGCATCTGCACTGCAACATGAATGGTGTTTGACACTACTTTAACTGCCATGGTTCATTGCTATGGGATCTTGGGAGTTGTAGTTTGGTGAGACATCAGCACTCTTTGGCAGACTCCAGACCTTATGAAATATCAACTTCCATGAGTCCATAGCATTGAGGCATGGGAATTCAAGTGGCATCGAACTACATTGATTCTACAGCGTAGATGCACCCCTGGCTCATAATAAAACTTTATTTACATCCCGCACCTGGACTCAGAGAGATTGGAAGAGACTCTAAGAGCTGCCCACACAGAGGCTGGATGACCATCTATAGCAGGCATGGGCAAACTTGAGCCCTCCAGCTGCTTTGGACTTCAACTCCCACCATTCCTAACAGCCTAAGGCCCCTTCCTTTTCCCCCTCAGCCACTTAAGCAAGGCTGTTAGGAGTTGTGGGGATTCAAACCCTGTTCCCCAAAGTTTATTCCAATATTCATGCTGGATCTCTGATGACGTGATAATCATGTTAAAATAATCTCTTTGATGACTGGATACCATCTATCGGGAGTGCTTTAATTGTGTTTCCTGCATTGCCAAATGGAGTTGGACTAGATGTCCTTTGAGTTCTCTTCTAACTCTACAATTCCAGGTATACGGTAGTTAAAGCAGTTTAAAAAAACTTCACTGTAGAATAATGACTACAGATGCACTGCAATTGGGGAACCAAGGTGCAATAAAAGGCCTCGGAGGTATTTGTGCCTTCTCTGTGCCATTCAGCCAGATCCAGTGGCTCACAAAACTCTTCAGAGCTGACCATATATCAGCAGGGATGCCGGGTTGGAGTATGTGAGATGTCATGGCCAAAAGCTCTGGAATTAGTTAAAAACTGGCAGTTTGACAAGGAAAAGGTTAAAAGGGGAAAGGGTTTAAAAGAGTGTGACATGCTTTTTTCATGGTCTTTGAGCAAGTTGTCAAGTGACACCGCATTCTCGCCTCTCTTTTTTTTTGTTCACAAATACTGAAGTGTTGGATGCCAGCTTTTGAGTTATACATAATTCATGGTCATTTGCTGTATGTTTCCTTCCTCCCTGGCATAAGGAAGCCTATTCTGGGCACTTTCACGTTGCTTTCCATCTCCAAATCATCACATTCACCACCATCATCATTTCTTTATTTTATTTACTATATTTATATCTCACTTTTCTCGACCCCAAGAGGGACTCAAGGCAGCTATTATCATTACCATCTTCACTAGCTCTAAGAGGGGAATGGGATGAGAGAGTACTTTTTGGAAATGATAGATTTTGACCCTTCTGGAAATCAATTCATGAATTAATACAGAATCAGAACTTAAGGAACGTGGATGGAGAATTCAAATAGATCCTATACTACCCAGCACTTGCAAATCATGGGTATTTCTATCTTCATTGTTATGAATTTCACAAAGTTGAGTGCTGATAGGAATATAAAAAACAAGAAGGCTAAGGAAGTCCAAGTATTTATGGAATAGAATTCACTTTGTGGAGTAAATTCATCAAATGCAAATGATCTCTCTCCCCCAGGTCAGCTGAAAATTATAGAAGGGTTGCTGATCTAATTGCTTACAGCAATATTATCCAAACCAGTACCCTGGCATGACAGCATATTTAGGATTGCAACCCATAAACTGTATCTCAGGCTGGATCTACACTGCCATATAATGCAGTTTGGAACTGTATTATATTTACTTATTATTTATTATCCAGTTATTATTAATAACTGGATGGCCCTCACAAGGGTCTTCCTCCAGGGGCAAAACAACAATGGGCAACTTGGAAGTCCCTGAACAAACTCAAAAGTGGAGTGGGAAGATAAAAAGACAACTTGGCAAAATGGCACTACATAAAAGAATCCCACACCTTGTGTGACTGTGGAGCAGAAGAGACAATTCTGCATCTATATGCTTGTCCACTGTGCCCTGCCTCATGCACAGAGGAGGAGTTGTTGGAGGCTACAGACAATGCCATTGCTGTTACCTGTTTTTGGTCAAAGGATATTTAGCTGCCTGTGCTCCCTCTATTTTTATCAGTTTTATACTAATTTATGCAATGCTTTTGATATGAAATAAAATAAAAAATATAATATTTATTTATTTGCAACATTTCCCCCCACTTTTCTCACCCCGGAGGGGACTCAAGGCAGCTTTACATACAGGCAACAATTTGATGCCCTAAAACACAATGTACACTTAAATATTAAAATAGAATTTTAAAATACATAATTTAAACATTTAAAAACAATGCATTCTGAGTTAAAAACGTAATCCATGAGTGTAATCCGGGCCATTTCAATAGTCATTGTACATTGTTCCAAGCCCATCTATTGCATAAGTTCGCTTAAGGTTTGATCACAAAGTCGTGTTTTCACTCTCTTGCGGAAGAGGGGGGGGGGCATTATTTAAACTGTTATGTTTATTCATATCATGATCTGATCACCATACTCAATATATCCCATATGCATGGGGGTATTGGGGTAATGATACAAAAGGTTTGCTAGGGTAGACCCTCTTTCACTCAGACTCAGCCCCCACCGAAACTCACCCCCCCCCCCCCCCCCGAAATGAAATCCTGGCTACGGGCCTGGACCAGGCATGAGCAAACTTCGATCCTCCAGGTGTTTTGGACTTCAAATTCCACAAGTACTAACAACCAGTAAGCTGGCTGGGATTTCTGGGAGTTGAAATCCAAAACACATGAAGGGCGGAAGCTTTCCCATGTCTGGGCAAACAATGAAGTTCTATCTGAATTATATGGTAGTGTAGATCCAGCCCCAGGCTACCTTGCA